CAGCATGCGGCCGCAGCGCCCTGCCCCGCCTGCTGCTACCGCTGCTGCTGCTGCCCACTGCCGGGCCGGCCCAGTTCCACGGGGAGAAGGGCATCTCCATCCCGGACCACGGCTTCTGCCAGCCCATCTCCATCCCGCTGTGCACAGACATCGCCTACAACCAGACCATCATGCCCAACCTTCTGGGCCATACAAACCAGGAGGACGCTGGCCTGGAAGTGCACCAGTTCTACCCGTTGGTAAAGGTGCAGTGCTCGCCCGAACTGCGCTTCTTCCTGTGCTCCATGTACGCACCCGTGTGCACCGTGCTGGAGCAGGCCATCCCTCCGTGCCGCTCCATCTGCGAGCGCGCGCGCCAGGGCTGCGAAGCACTCATGAACAAGTTCGGATTCCAGTGGCCCGAGCGCCTGCGCTGCGAGCACTTCCCGCGCCACGGTGCGGAGCAGATCTGCGTGGGCCAGAACCACTCCGAGGACGGAGCGCCGGCGCTGCTCACCACCGCGCCGCCTCCCGGCCTGCAGCCAGGTGCTGGAGGCACCCCCGGCGGCCCAGGCGGCGGCGGCTCGCCCCCGCGTTACGCCACGCTGGAGCACCCGTTCCACTGCCCGCGCGTCCTTAAGGTGCCGTCCTATCTGAGCTACAAGTTCCTGGGCGAGCGCGACTGCGCGGCGCCTTGCGAGCCCGCGCGGCCGGACGGCTCTATGTTCTTCTCGCAGGAAGAGACGCGCTTCGCGCGCCTCTGGATCCTCACCTGGTCCGTGCTGTGCTGCGCCTCCACCTTCTTCACCGTCACTACATACCTAGTGGATATGCAGCGTTTCCGCTACCCCGAGAGGCCCATCATCTTCCTGTCCGGCTGCTACACTATGGTGTCGGTGGCCTACATCGCGGGCTTCGTACTCCAGGAGCGTGTGGTGTGCAACGAACGCTTCTCCGAGGACGGCTACCGCACGGTGGTGCAGGGCACCAAGAAGGAGGGCTGCACCATTCTCTTCATGATGCTCTACTTCTTCAGCATGGCCAGTTCCATCTGGTGGGTCATCCTGTCGCTCACCTGGTTCCTGGCGGCGGGCATGAAGTGGGGCCACGAGGCCATCGAGGCCAACTCGCAGTACTTTCACCTGGCCGCGTGGGCCGTGCCGGCGGTCAAGACTATCACTATCCTGGCCATGGGCCAGATTGACGGCGACCTGCTGAGCGGCGTGTGCTTCGTGGGCCTCAACAGCCTGGACCCGCTGCGGGGCTTCGTGCTGGCGCCGCTCTTCGTGTACCTGTTCATAGGCACGTCCTTCCTCTTGGCCGGTTTCGTGTCACTCTTCCGCATCCGTACCATCATGAAGCACGACGGCACCAAGACGGAGAAGCTAGAGCGGCTTATGGTGCGCATCGGCGTCTTCTCGGTGCTCTACACGGTGCCCGCCACCATCGTCATCGCCTGCTACTTCTATGAGCAGGCCTTCCGAGAGCACTGGGAGCGCTCGTGGGTGAGCCAGCACTGCAAGAGCCTGGCCATCCCGTGCCCGGCGCACTACACGCCGCGCATGTCGCCCGACTTCACCGTCTACATGATCAAATACCTCATGACGCTCATCGTGGGCATCACGTCGGGCTTCTGGATCTGGTCCGGCAAGACGCTGCACTCGTGGAGGAAGTTCTACACGCGTCTCACCAACAGCCGGCACGGCGAGACCACCGTGTGAGAGGGGGTGTCCCCAGGCCGGGGCCGCACCGCGCTTTACTCCGCCCGGGGGGGCTCCTACAGACTCCTTATTTTATTTTTTTAAATAAAGAACAGTCGAAACCATTTCTTTTTTAGGTCACTTTTTAAAGATAATTCCTCCCAACACCCCTACCAGGTTTGTAATTAAAACTGTAAATAGTCTTTGTAAATTTAATTATATATTTTCTATTTAAAAGAAAAAAGGGTACGGAAAAGGAACAGCGAGGGTGGAGGAGGAGTTGAGGGGGTTCTTGCGGTTCGTCAGTGGCCTTTCAAACATCCTCCCCACCACGCACACACTTTGGTTTGGATTTTTTGGTGATTTGGCAGGGCCGGGCCTGAGGAAAAGGTGTCGGCTGGTTTGTCTCGTTCAATTTCTAAAGCCAACTCGGTGAGGCTTCTCACTGACTCTGGGCCTGGGGAAAAGCTGTTGGATACTCTTAAACAAGGCTTAGATTCTTGTTTTATCTTCCCCACCCCCACCCCCCCTTTTTCCGCACTTGTCCTGTCTCTTCGCTCCATCTTTGGAATCCTCCCAACCGAGTCGAAGACAAGGGGGAAAAAAAAAAAAACAACAATGGGTGGGGTGGTGGGGAGAGGGCGGAGAGCGTGTGTGGACTGGCCTCCACCCCGCTGGCCCACTCCCCTGGAGGCAGGATCTTTCTCCTTAACTTTTCTTTTCAACCGTCTGCCCCAAGCGCTTGGAGTGGGCCGAAAAATGCTCTGTGAAGTATGGTTTGAAATAACTCCCCCCACCCCCCCCACACAAACACACTACCTTGAGTACTGATCCTGACCCCCTCCATTTTTAGGGAGACTATTAGCTCTCCAATGTTGGGTTTTGGTGATGCCCTTGCATCTCTCCCCTTATTTCCCCGGCAGATTGCTACCGGCCCGCTTCCCGCCCCATTCCCTCAACCGAATATCTCTGGCGTTCAGGTTAGCAGTTTGTGGGTTGGTTTGTGTGTTATGTGTGAGTTTTTGTTGTTGTTTAGGGTTTATTTTTTTCAAAAAGCAATAAAAATGGATTGGGTTGGAGGATGGGGATGGACGGGCTGATGGGAATTTTAGCTTTCCTTTGACAAAAGACTGGTTTCTTTTTAAACTCGTTAAAAAAAGAAAAAAATGGGTTTCTTCGCTTTGGAAGAGGGCTCTGGGCAGGCTCTTTGTGACTGTGGGGGTGGGGTTGAGTGTTTACATGACATTCTATATCACAAGATTGATAGAATGTTTATAACAGATGTTTCTTATCTTCCCCCTAGCCCCCACAAATAAAAGTCAAGGCTTTTCTTAAAGTATCTTTGACACTGGTATGAGAATTGCAGTTTCCAATACACATCATTTCCCTCAACTATTTGGAATATTTTAGAATTTTAATTCCAAAGGATTGATTTGAAGACCAAGGGGATGAGTGGAACAAGTATGCCACAGAACTCAATTTTTCACCATCTCCTGTTTCTTGATAATAGTGCAAATTAAAAGCTAATAATCATAATAATAAAGTGCATTTAATTATCTTCTAGAGATCTAGCCCTTTAATTGTATTTAACAGGGTTGTAACATTTTATTAGTTTAACCAAACCACACCTCCTCCCTCCCTCTACCAGGACCTACTGGGTTGGGGATGGGGCTGGAGAAAAGGTTCCCTTCCCCAGACCTTGCTTTTTTAACTAAATGATGATGGGGAAAATGGTGCTTAAGCACCCTTTGTTGGCAATCTTTGGGATAATGGAGAAAGTAAGTTAGACCCTACTTCAGTGTTTGTCCGTGTTAGTTTATGTTGGGGGAGGGGATCTGGAAATGTTTGGTGGTAATTGAAGTCGTATGTGGGGCTTTGTTTGGAATTGTATGAAGTCTGGGGACTTCAGCAGAGCCCCCTTCCCAATATACATAACCTTACCCCAAACCATTTGTGCCAGTGGCCAACATTATACGTTAAAACTAGCTTTTTCTCAAGTGATGATGTGTGCGAAGTCCCAACCTGAGATTCCCTCACTATCAAAGAAGCAGGCTGGGAGGGTGTCATGGCCCTGTAGCTCCATTTGTTGTAAGATTCTCAAGGAACCCCACAAGGGCTGCAGGATAGTTAAATTACAAACAAATTGTGAGTACCTCTCCTGGAAAGAATGGTGATAGCCTGTGAGTGGGAGGCGGGGGGGTGGATTTTCCAGTGGCTGGTATGGAACCCAGTGGGAGGAGGAGTGCTGGTCTCTGTTGAAGATTTGGGGAAGAGCCTCCCCACTTCTAAGCCCCGAGCACCCCAGCTCTGTGTACTTTGGGTACATTTGTCAGTGGACAGCCACACTATCAGCAGAAAGATGGTAGACTAGCAACAGTGACCTTTTCCTTCCCCAGGTTAGAGATGGGAGAAAGGGAATTTTGGTAAAGATTGTTCTTCTCAACCCCCTCGAAGTCATCTGCCAGCAGAGGGGAAGAGGGCCCAAGAAAACTGGAAAAAATAAAAATTAAAAAATTAAGGTTTTATAGTAGAGGGCGGGGAGGTTAGACAATTGCTTTTTGGAAAAGAAAAGCCCTCTAGATGTCCTCCCTTCTCCAAAGGGATAGCTAAGGGCTTTTTGACCTTACAGAGAGTAGTAGAGAACCCCCTTCCTGGCTCCTCTCAAGGCTCTCATGAAACAACTCTTAGAGGAAGGGAGGTGTTAGCCCATGGAGTAGAGGATTTAGGGGAGAAAGTTCCCGGAGCAGAGAACCACCTGAGCCCACTGCCACACCTGGAGAGAGAGGTCTCCTTTGTTTGGAAAACCCAACTAAACACATGGGCTTGGAAGTCTGCTTCTGCAGATTTCTAGGGTGCCCTATGGACAGGTTGTAAGTAGGTTGGTGCCTCCCTCTGGAAGAATGTGGCTTTGTCTAGGGGAGCGTCAAGGGCCCAGGGGAAAACTCTTCACCTGAGGCCCCAGGCCTGGGACAGTTCTCAGACCACAGCTGCTTTCTACCTGCCCTCCTGCCCTCACCCCATCCCACAAAGTATCCAGGCTGCCTGACTCTTAAGGCTCTGGGTGTCTCTCCTCCAGCTCTTCCCTCACTGGTCAGACTTTGGCTTTTCCTCTTCCCTCCCCAGACTCCCCTCCCAAAAACGGTTCCAATGGTTACAAACTCTTTGTCCTTTAAGAGCCAGCCTCAGAAAAGGACATGTTTCCCAAGACAAAATTCTGAACATCCCCAGAGACTGAGGACCAGTGGGATCTGGAGCTGCTGACTTCTGGATTATTCCAAGAGGCTCTCCAAGAGGGTGTTGGGGTTCCCGGATCTGGGCTGGATTCTAGAAGTAGGGAGATGCTGTCCCGGGGTGCTTGGGACATTTGTCTAGGGGACCTGAGCCCAGGCCCTTGCCACTTCCGAGGCATTGTCCCTTTGATAATCCCACTGCTCACTATAGTAGAGTCTCTTCCTTCTCTAGACTCACCCTTCTCTCCTATGAATGGATTTTAAACTCTGAAAACCTGAAAAAATCTTTGGACCTCCTCCTGGGAAGAAATGGCCAGACCCCCATGAACACAATTTTACATGTAACTTTAGGGTGTTTATGGACTATCTATCTGCCCTCTTCCCCTACCTCACCCCCAGGCTAGTTTTCCAATTCCTGGTTTAGACATTTTCTAGTCCTGATTACTGGGTATCTCCACTCTTCCAAGGGGCAGTTCATACCTTCTTAGACTCCAGTGTCCTCCAGTCTCTAATCACCTCTGCTATGGAAAGGGGGTACAGGAGGGAAAACCATCAGGCCTACAATACCAGGAATACCCCAAACCAGATTATTCATTTGATGCTGTCTGTCCTGCAGGTAACAAGATGGAGCAGAGTGGAATGAATGTGTAAAACTTCTGTAGTTGAGAGAAAAGAGTAGGAAAAAGAGACATACAGATTGGCTGTGTGCAGAGAGCACAGGCTTTGGCATGAGACAGTGCCATCTCTGAGCCCTTTAGTGCCAGCTCTGAGCCCTTGTGGACGTCTAACCTCTGAATCCTGATCCGCATCTGTAAAAAGGCAACAGTGCCTGTCTGGCAAGATTGATGCGAGGATCAGATCAGATGGTGCATATACAGAGTCAGCACGTAGTAGATGCTCAATAAATTGTAGCACTTTTCCAATTACTTAAGATAAATTTCTAAAAATAAAGTAGAATCACTGGATCCAAGGATGTGCATTTTTTGAGGACTTTCTAATTTACTGTTACTGGTAGTTTTAACAGAATAGAATGAATTTTTGTGCTACCACCTTTTATACCTGACTCGGGGTGCCAGCTCAGTCTAGAAGCTGCTCAGGGTAGTGGGCAGTGTTTTTCTCCCTCTCTTCTCTGATTAGGACAGCAATGTCTTACCTGGCTGAGTGAACAGGGCACACACACGGGCGGGTTCTCTCTCGGCTGGCTTTGAAGCTGGCTAATTAGGGCTAGGGCTGTCACAGCTGGCTTCCCTGGTATCTCCCCCTCCCTCTGTTCTGCCCCATCCCCAGCCCCACAGCCTGAGTGGTCTTCCCCAGCTGCCTTGCCTTCCACTGCAGACTTGAGGCTCTTTCAGAAACATATGGGAAGGGCCAAGTTTTGAGGCCTGAAGAAAGGATAAGATGGGACTTGGGGCATGGAACAAGCTTAGAGACCACTGATAAATTCGTTTAATCCATAGGACTACTTATGGCCCCAAGACCCCTCCTTGTCCCTAATGAAGCCTGGAAAGGAGCCGATTTGGGCTGGGGGCTGAGCCCTGGGCCCTTTGTTTGAAAGCCAAGCTTTCTGAAGGCTCTAGCCTCCCAACCTGGCCCTTGTAATTAGCCCCAATCAAAGTGTTTATGTCGGGGCCTCAGTGCGGAACTCAGAGCCCCATGATTTCATTCCAAACCTGGGGGGAGAGGGGAGGGAAAGGGATTTGTGTGGGGACATGCAAAAAGGAGGATGGGGATGAGAAGGAGATGTGGGGTGAGGGGAGGGGAGGAGGTCCTGGCATGGCGGGGGACAACTACTCTCCACTTGGCGATTGCAGGGGCAGGACCCCTCCCGGGGTACCTGATGCCTTGGCATCTTGACCCTGACTGGGCCAGTCGCCTTCTGGACAGGCTCTGTGGGTGGGTGGGCTTGTGCCAATCGGAAATGGCTTGGATATAATTAACCCAGCTAATCACCAGCCTCAGCCCAGTGGAAAGAAAGGTACAACCCAGAGCCACAGCTCTCCCAGGAAGCTCTGGTTTCCTTATTCTCCTTTCTCTGAATGGGACCGAGGATGTGCGAGGCTCTGCAGCTGATTAAGATGGTGGAGTCAGAGGGTGGGCAGGAAAGGGATGTAGGAAGGGAGGGTGCTCAATTCTCATCTCTGGCCTCATCCTCAAGGGGGAATGTGACACGAGGGAGTGGCTCTGAAGTGGCCACGCTGGGGTGGAGGTGGGAGCAACAGAAGGAATTGTGGTGGGAAGGGAGAGAGGATTCCCAGCCATTGCTCCCAGGTGGCACTAGGTGTGTCCCAGACTCAAAGTGCTTTTTGCTCTGAGTCTAGGCCTCCCGGGGAACTCTCTGGGAAGGGGTGTGGCTTTTAGGGAATTCTGAGTATTAGGTTTAGTGTTCTGTGGGTGGGGAGTAGACAGAATGTGGGGCCTGAGCTTATAACTCCCTTGCTTAAAATCCTGGAAGTCCTCCAAAAGGTGTCCCAACTCCCTCCCTCGCTCAGCACACAAAGCTTTCCAACATCTGGATCTGGGTTCTAGCTCTCTAGTCTCACTTTCTACTG